TCACGAAGAGTCGGACACGACTTAACGACTAAACAACAATGGTTCTGGAAAGATGAATATGAAAGTGATTTGTGAGAAACTTTAGATACTATTTTGTTACATAATCTGCCTGACTTGATTCATGTTTATTCATTTATTAATTAAATCACTTTATATAGCTGCCCATCTCACCACAGGCGACTCTGGGCGGCGTACAACAAAGCTAAAAACAGTAAAATACATTAAAACTATATATAACAGAATAAAACAGAGAATAAAAGGAAGTTAAAAATAAGGGAGCCACCTCACTAATTCCCTCGTCCCCTGAAGTCCCCAGGCCTGCTGGCATAACCAAGTCTTAAGGGACCTCCGGAAGCTCAACAGTGATGAGGCCAGCCTCACCTCAAGGGAGAGAAGATTCCACAGCGCAGGCGCCACAGCAGAAAAGGCCCGCTGCCTGGGACCTGCCAAATGTATCTCCCTAGGTGATGGAATCCGTAACATGCATAGATTAATGGCTGTCAGACACCTTCAACTGCATACCAACTTGGTTATTAAAATTGAGCAGTATATATTATGAAGTCTAAGCATAGCTTAGTGTAAACTATGAGTTTGCAAGTCCTCATTCTTTACACTCAATACTTTAGCTGCCTTGGCAGCGGATGACTGGCTGGTTGTAACCTCCGTTTCTTTTTTGTTATTTGTTTCAAGCAAAAAAATGCATGATTAATCAATCAGAGCTACCACTTTATTTCTAAATTGAATCCGCATATGTGATGGCTGTGTATATATGTAAAACCTTGTCTAGAGCAGCAGAAATGAATCCACTGGTAGGAGGATGGAATCAGACCAAAACTGTGTTATCATTGGCTGTGGTGTAGGATCTGAGGATGTTAAGCATATCCAGAACATAACTTAGTATATCATACAAAGCAGATCAGCAGATCTAGATTCTGTGTCTTTTTCAGCTAATTCGTTATACAATATTAATTGTGGTGTGCCAAAATAAGAATTTAGTGGATGGCAGAAATTCCAGATGATTAGTCTGGTACATACTTGGAGCAGTAACAAAATAGGACTGTACAGAGGAGAGAACATATCTTTGTTTTAGGTTATTGGCTATATTAGACATTATTGGGAGTGCCCATGTTTGCTTTAAAAATAAAAAGCACCTAAAAAGATAGGGAATGTGGCTTGAATCAGACAATAGAACAGGAAAAGAGACTTTTTGTTTTCTCTTATTCCAAATAACCTCCAAAAACTGTTATTAACGAGAGAGACATACAACCACTATGGCCAGCCTGAGATATTTTGCTGCCTCTGGCAGAGCAGTAGGTATCCTTCCTACCCTCCCAAACTAAGAACCAAAGGACTCAAAGAGGGTTGCTATTCAAGATAGAAAATTATGCTGCAGAATTACAGAAAAACAAGAGAAGTTATCCCAACAAGGCATAAGTTCAGGACAACCAAAATCAACAGCCTAAAGTGGTTTAGGAACCTGATCATTCTGTTTTATTTCCATTGTGCTCCTTGAAAAGGACACATATGTAATATGTAATTTGGCCATGAACAGTTAGGGAAATGTTGTAACCTAAATAGGTTCTGAGATGCGAAGTTTACAACAGTTTAGGAACACAGTTAATTTACCAAGTATTTGTGTGGTTGTAGCAAGGAAGAAAATTGCTATCTTTGAGAATCACAAAGCTTATCATGCATATGAAGAGCTAACATTGATTTAAAAAAACTAGGAATGCAACACATCAATAAACACATTAAAAGGATAATGCATCTTGTAACATCATTAACATCTGAGTTACTTGATGATAGGTGACACAAACCATGGTTAATGAAGAATCTGCTCAAACTAAAAAATCAAGAACATTGATCCTGCATATAGTTGTTTATTTATTTATTTTATTTTATTGGATTTCTCCGCCGCCCATCTCCCGCACAATAGGGGACTCTTGGCGACTTACAAAAAACCTATTTAATTTACCCTATTTCGTTTACCCTATTTAAATACTATAAGTCCTCCTTTAAGAATGCAAACTAAAGGGGCTGCAATTAAAAGTGCAAACTTGTTACTATTGGATTATAGTATATTTATATTTCTGATCTTTGGCACACTTTGGAAAAGTAAATAGAGGAAAAGGAATACTGAACTTTTTAACAATTTATTGTATCCTAAAAGGCTGATAGAAAATAATAGGGATATAGAAGATAAATTTCTGGTTTGTTACCCCTTCCCCCCAAATAATAAAGAACAAATTATATAACATGTATGTAATCATTTTTATGTTCACATTGCTAATATATAAACATCTAAAACATTGGCCAGGAAAGTTACAGAAATCACTGTGCTTTTGTCCTTGGGCATGTAAAGGTCTTTGGTGTAGGCTTTTTATATGCAAATTCCCAAAATGTGAGCTTCATTTTTAACAATGTGTTTTTTATTTTAAAAGTGGTGGATCTTTTAAGATTATTTTTTAGAAATAGATTTTTTTTAATTTAAATGAACAATGCATCAGAAGCACAGTATTTTTTTTTAAAAAATTGTAATATCAATTAAATAAAGAACATTAATTAATTAAGGATAAAATAGTCCTAAAAAGAGAAGTATTTAATGTCAGAAATTGTTTCAACCTTTTCCTGGTTTGTAAGGTAAAATGCTAACGAGATTATCATAAATACAGACAACAGCAATGCCCATTTCACGGGCAATGTTTCTATTTGTCATCACAAGCTTGTTTTTGTCACTATTCATAACTGCCCAGTTCATACACAGTTCAGGATGGGTGCCTTGTTCATTTGTATAATAAATTGTCTTGTGTAAATCTGTCCATACTTCCTTTTAGAAAGGGGAAGAACAACAATTTGGAGCCACATTATCATAAGCTTCACATTTGGAAACTTTTGGAATAGTGTGTCATTTCTTCAGAGCGTATTTAGGATGGTATGTAGTAAGATGTTGGACTGGCAACAGGGAAGTTCAGGTCCACCCTCAGCCATGAAAGCTCACTAGATGACTTTGGGCCAGTCATTTACGCTTAGGCCATCCTATCACACAAGGTAGATGTTGTGGGGAAAAATGGGAGGAGGGAATGTTTTGTAGGTCACGTTGAATTCCTGAAATGCAGGATATAAATCTAAAACATGAATAAATTAAATGCAAGACAGATTCTTCTGTTTTGCTATTTCTCTTGCAAAGAAGACCTCAAATGGTAAAGGACAATTGCTTACTAGCCCTTAACATTTGGTTATATATATACTGCACTGTTCCAAATTGCACTGTCCCAGAAGGCAATGTAAATTTGTGATGTGCCTGATCAAATATAAGATGGATAGTGATTTGGTAAGAACTAGATATTTATTAATTTACTATGACATTTCTATGACACCAATTCTGCAGGAGCTCTCAACTGTTTCCACATATCAATAAAACATATGTCCATAAAAATAATAAATATAAAAAAGTTCTCCCATTAAACCTAGTGTTCCTCTTTAGTTACCACTCCTGGCAGTGTTGTATATCAGATGTTCTACAGAACACTTCGATTTTGACTGCACTTCTAAAAATCATTAGAGACTATGCCATTGGAATCCGAGGGAAGATTATTCCATAATGAAGAAGCAAACACAGAAAAAAAAAGTTTCCTAGCCTATCTCCGCAACCCCGCTCCCCAAAATAATCTCACATAGGAGTATCATCAGTATCACTGGTCTGAAAGCGTATGGGTTGGTCCTACTTGAAGCATAATCTGGCTATTGAGATAGAATTTATTTATCCATAGGTAGAAACCTATATGTCTGCTTTCTTTTTAGCTGTATTAATACATGTGGCTAAGCTCAGGACTGCCATGAGAGGATGTATATATATATTACAGAAGAATTTTCTCATATTATGAAATTAGCTTGACTTGAATAACTTTAAGATGACTTCTGCGATGTGTATCTTGGAGCACCTAACTAGTAAATAATAGTTTAGAACAACTGAATAGCAGCTCACATAGCTTCTGTTTATTAAAACCTAACTAATTTAAAAGCATTTCATATTAATGATTGGTGAAGGCTAATCAAAAAATGAGAGTTGAAAAAAAAATGATGTTTTTTTGTTGTTGTTGATACAGTATGGAGACAAGAGGAACTTGAGCGCATCAACAGCACTTTCACTGGAGCTGAACGGAAAGCAGCTCTCTGTGGACTTTTAGAAAAAGAGACCCAGCTGATTGCTTCCATTGGGAGACAGAAAATAAATGCAGTAGAAGAGAACCAGGAAAAAGCAATCCTGTCCTTTCTGGAAAAGGTCAGTGAGATAATTTCTGTCTGAGTGTACCAAGAGTTCAAAAACCCAAATTAACATTTGCAAACTAACAGCATACTGAAGAAAAGCACAGTAATTAACTTACCAGTTGAAGATATGATTTGTGAGCTTTATGCATGTCTGGCAGTAAAACTGGCTCATTAGGTACAGTTATTAAAAGCCTTTATGTATACTCATAAATTTGATGAGTATTTCTTTTCACCTATGTACAGAGAAGTCACCACTTACATCTTAATTTACTTAATTACATCTTCTTATTGAAAACGATGCATACCATGCCCTCTGTAACCTTTAATTAGTACTGCATTAGAGGCACGTGGGGTAAATTTATTATAGTAATTTCATTCACATTTCCAGAATTTATATTCTAAGATATCTTATTTCTGTCACTGTTACAACATCATGCCCTTTTGGCTCCATTCCAGCAATATGTATTTGAATTTTTGTGTAAGCCCTTTCATGAAGAATAGTTATTTCACGTGTAAAATAAGTTTTCCATCTGTGTATTTAGTGGAGGACTCCATCATCAGTAATGAAATTAACTTTACCCACCATGCTGTTTTCTCTTCAGATGAAGAAACTGATAAAGCCTCTCTGTTGATCTCTCCTGAGTAGACCATATTGTTGCTGGTTAGTTTGAAATTGTAACATATCAGACAATGACAATCCCTTTCTTATCTCATCTTTAAGCTTCCAGTGGCCTATTCCTTTTCAAATCTCTAGCACAGCCCTGTCCATCTAGTGCTTTCCAGATGTATAGGTCTACAGCCCATGTCTTGTATAGTCAACATAGAATGTTGCTGTAGTTTAACAGTTCTGGATGATACTACATTGGAGGAGACTGCCAGGGCCATGAGAAAGACAAGTCCATTGGTTATTTCAAGGAATAATGCAGGAAAGCTTGTTTTCTATTTATGAAAGAAAAGGAATAGTAGTTTCTTTTCTCTCCATCAATACTGTTAGCATTTTGCTGTATAGTCTGGTACAGAAACTATTACTAGAATCCATCTGATTGTGTGGCTGTCTTAGCCCAGATCACAAGTCACCATACCCCAGCACGATCAGTAGTAAAATGAGCTGTGATTCTAATAAATCAAAAACTGTTAAATGGCCCCCTCATTTGGTATATATATATCACTGAATTCACATCCTATTAACAATGGTATAAAATTGTGGGTGAAAAACTATGACCTATTATCAGGTATACTTTAAGCCAAACAAGTGAACTATAAATTTCAATTGTTATTCTGCATTGTACTCTATTTGTGTGTGATTTTTCTTTCAGAGGACAACTGAGTCTGCTCACATGTATGATTTGGGCTAAATAACCAAGTGATGATCTTATGAACTCAAAGGCCTGATCTTAAGATGAATTCTTCATTAGAAGAAGATTAATTTCATCAGACTGAAATTAAACGTAGAAATTTACATAGGAAATAACAGATTCATCGCTACTTTGGAACATTGTCAAATAATTCTAAGAATAGGGCAGTGGATAAGAAAAAGACATAAGAATAAGAAGTTATTATTACTATTTTAATTAGGATAAATATCTTAAGATGCTTATCCACCTCTAGATGTCACTAGCAGCCAACACTATACTTGAAATAAACTTAGAAGCTTTGAAACTTCCAAATGCACAGCGTACAATAATGTATGGGATCGATAAATATTGTTTTCTCTAATTTTAAAATTGCTTCAGTTCTATCCTTCAATTTCCCCCATAAGAATTCTCCCTTGCTCTACATCCAATTCCATGCTGAAAGAGAGAATTAGATGGAGGTATTAGTAGTTAACTCCAGTTTAATAAACAAAAATTTCTCTCCCACCTACATTCAACCTGCAAGAAACAGTTATCTTTGTTTTGAATGACAGCAGATGCTAAGAAATCAGATATTTTGGGAGAACAAGAAGGGGGTATATCTACTAAAATGTGGGCAAGAAGAGATAAAGGTTCAGTGGAATTATCACTAACTAATGGAACAGAGAGAGAGAACATTCATTGGTGGTTCTTTTCAGCCAGGAAGGAGAGAAGTGTTGAGTAGTGTGTCACAGAGTTCCCTCCTGGGTCCAGTCCAGTATTGTTTAAAGATGTTCTAAATGACTAAAATAAAAGAGTGAAAGGGTGCTCATGAAATATGCAGCTGACACAAAACTGGATATAAAAAGCTAGTGTTCAGAGAAAGTTGACATTGTTCTAAATTGTTACAAAGGTTGTACAAGATCTAAATAGACTTAAGTATCTCTTCTGACTTGGTAGCTCATTCTGGTTTTACTGACTGCTTATAAGACTCTGGTTCAATCACAAACTGCATTTGGAGGATCCTCTGAAATAGTTTAATTTTCTTTCTTACTTTGGTTCAAGGTTTTAGCTGTTTAGGGTAATGACTATTATTTTCACTTCCCTGGTCTTTATCCAGCCATGTCTTGTCTTTTACACATGCACGACCACACATTAACACATACACACATCATTATGCCATAAGCTGATTCGTGATGATGATGTGCCATCAAAATTGGTGTTGACTCTTAATGATCGCATAAGTTAGACCCTCTTCAGGATAATTTGTCTACAACCTGGTCCTTCAGGTCTTCCAACAGTGCACCCATTACCAATGTATATGAGTCCATCCACCTTGCTATTGATCACCCTCTTTTTCTCTTTCCTTCCATCTTTCCCAGCATTATAGACTTCTCAAGAGAGCTAGGTCTTCACATAATGTGTCCAAAATATGATAATTTTAATCAGGTATTTTATGCCTTGAGTGAAAGCTCTGAATTAATTTGTTCTATGAGACATGAGATTGTTTTCTTAGGTATCCTTGGTATTCTCAGGAGTCTTTTCCAATGCCAAAGATCAAAAGTATCATTACTGTTTCTATCTTGCTTCTTCAGAGTCCAATTTTCACTTCCATAGCATGTCCCACGGAAAACCATTACCTGCACAGTTCTGATCTTTGTAGGTGTAGATACATTACAGCATCCACTGGATATCTTTTCCAAGGCCTTCATTACTATTCTACCAAAATCTGTCGCACATTTTTTAACCCTGGTTCCTTTACTGTTAATAGGGGATCCTAAAAGTAGAAACTATCCACCACTTCATTATCTTCAGTGTCAGTTCTAAGGCTGATTGCTGTACCTGTTGTCATTTTTCGGTCTTCTTTATATTTAATCTAAGTCCCATTTTCTTTTCACTCTGCTCCTTGACTTCATTACAGTATCAGAGCTTGCAGTTCATTTATATTTTTAGCTATCAGAGTAGTGTCATCAGTATGGCACAGATTATTGATATTTCTTCCTCCAGTTTTTAAATTGTGCTGATCTTCTTCCAATCCAGCTTCCCTAAATATATAAATTTTGAATAGGTTGAATAAATAAGGGGAGAGTATATAGCCTTTTCTCACTCCTTTGCCAGAAGCCAGTCTGTTTTGCTATGTTCCATCTAGAGTGCCGTAAACTACTAGCTCTTTTTTTTTAATTTTTCCTTGTGATTGATCTATGACACTTGGTGTCATATATAAAGATATCCATATGATTAATACATTTTTATATCCTTTTTGCTGTTTTAAGATGCTCCCTGAATATTTTAGGGAAGATGGAAATGTTGTTTGGTGGTGGTGGTGGTTTGACCTTTCCACAAGTTTTTCTTTTGTTTCACAATTCCTACAGAATGTTTTTGATATTATATGTTCATAAGATAAGCTTATAATATTATTCAAAAGGGTATAAACTTTAGGTTCAAGAAGTGTCATTTCTGACATGCTCACAAATATATGTGTCTTGGTTATCTGTGATGAGGAGCAGTAAGTATGTTCTTGCTCATGATATAACCTAAGTTTTAATTCTTAATTAATCATCTTAATAAAGGTGATATATCTTGCATATATTGTATTTATCTGTATGTATTGCTAACACCTTGCTTGGAGGTGTTATCAAATATATATCAAGTTCATACCTGCATCCTGAAAATGGGGTCCCTACCCAAAAGCTAGTGTAATAATAGATAGGTAATTACTGCATAAGCAGAGTAATTTTGACATTTTGAGGTGTCCAAACAATTTCTTCCTATTTCAGCCTCTTCTGCATATTGAAAAGTTAGATTAGGGAACATTTCAGAATGCTTTGTTGCGTGACTCACAGAGTTGAGGCTGGGAGATTCTGGAACATATCAGATTGCACTTTTATAAACCCAGTGTAGCAGCGGCTTAATGACGCTGAAAGTTGCCAGCCAGGAATGGGCGACGCTTCAGC